AAACTAAAAGTGAGAAGCTTGTTTAATCCCTTTGCTCCATTTAGCCATCAGAGGATATGGTGGTTTGGGGAATTTTGTGTAACACACAGCTATGTTTCAGTATAGCAAAATAGCACAGTATCACTTCAACTTGTAGTGTTATTTCTGGCTTTTGTGACCTCCAATTATTCTGTTTTTCAGATAAAGTAAACACAATGCTGCATTGAGATGTACAAGATCCAAAACGGCTCCTGCTCCATGCAAGACTTGAGACCACAAACCATTAACTGCGTAACAATGTCTACCACCACCAAACCATGTGATTGTCTTTTAATAGCTCCAATAAAATTTGTTTCAAGGATAAAATATTTTCTATCCTTGGCTCTCCAAGGAACAGCATGGACGATCCCAAAGGAGAGGACATCTAAGTTAAGTGTACTACTTAAACAGTAAAACAGGAAGTTCTCTGCCTTTCTTGTTCTCAAATTTTCTCTTTAAACACAATGTTCCAAGATAAGCCATGGCAGAGTTATTGGTGTCAACAAGCCAAGCTCTTTCTTCTTGTTTTGCTGAATGAGGAAGGAAGAAAATTGTTTCTTCTTTTCTGTCTTTTTGGTTCTAAAAACTCAGGTCTCAGTCAAACAGCAGAAAAAGAAGGAGGGAAAGATGAATAAATGAAAAGAGATGTTTATCTATGAACAATATCAATGCTCTGATCTTTGCTGTAGCAGCCAAAACTCTCTGCTGCTTCCTAAAGACAGATAGACTCTTCACCCGGAGACGACAGACTAATTACAGAGCTCCTGCCAGAGGGAACTCACACATGCAAACCATTATGTAAAATATAGATATTTCCCCCTCTTAGAATACTTACAATCATTAGACATGGTTTCTTGAAGGCTATAAAATCAGGACCAAATAGGAAAGTAAACAGTTTCAAATATACTAAACTTCATTCCCTCATGCATTTATGGTAACATAAAAATTGTTCTAAAATGTGGTTTGACATTTCATTATTCATTTCTCCAACAATTTAAATCTCCTTCTCACCCCAGATCCCCAGTATTTCCAGTCTTGTCTCATATTATCACAGCAGAAGCACATTTCAATTCTGGTTGAGGCAATTTCTAGTTGAATAAAACAATTTTTGAATGAGTAAAAAGAGGAATGTCATACCCACATCAGTATTTCATCCAATTACATAAAGCGTGCTGACAGAATATTTAACCCTGCCCTTCTAAATCTTTTATACACCAACAACCAAGAGGGTCTACTTTAAAAACTAGTCCCACCTATTGTGATATAGAGGTAAAATATCCCGAGATGCAGGTCTCCAAGCAACTTAACCAATCATAGAGATCATCTGTCGGGTCTGCTGTTCCAATTCTTACGTTCAAGGCAAACTCTGGCCTGTAGTGTTCTGTGTAATCACATTGTTACAACATTCCTCCATACCTCACACCTGGACCTTACCTGGATGAGCATTTCTAAAGACCCTACTGTCTGGTCAAAACAAGCTTCATCCCAGCCCATATCAAAATTATCTTAGTCATAAGACGCTCCTAGTCGGTACGGTTGATGGGTTACTGTTTCCAATATAGTCCCTTTCCTTCTGCTATCCAGTTCCTGCTTTGGCTCCTGTGCTAAGTTTTAATTGTCTACCTCTATGTTGTCAATGTTTGGCATGCTTTCTAGCCATTTCTGTTAGATATTTTGTGTATATTTCAAAAGAGAGAGACTATTTGGTTAAGGCCCCAACTCTAGTACCACTACTAATATTTCCGAATATCAGGCTTGCAGGTTCTATTACTGGAAGACTAAACCATTTATTGTTCTCGGACTGAGAAAATCATTCCATCAGCTAATTCAATAATGTATTCTTGCCAACTCTTTGGTAATACTAGAATGGTGTTCAGATAAAATGCATGGAATTACACTCTTCATATCAATGTTGAGGATTCCATATTTCACCTGACAATGTAATTACAGATTTTGCTTCAAGAAAAAAACACAAGCATCGGCACTCGGCAAGAAATTATCATGCAATGTTGGTTTATTTAGCAACATAGAAGGGCAACGTTTCCACACAAAAAGTGTATTTCTCAGGCTTGTCACAAAGACACTTTGTGTTTCAAAATGTTACTCTTCTGAGATGACTGAATAAACCACCACTGCATTATAATTTCTTGGCGAGTGCGAAGGCTCATTTTTTTCTATTTTATTATACACTTGTCTTGTGAAACATGGACCTTGTCTGTGGCACAGGCAGCCAGCCAGCCAGCCAAGATTGATACATTCATTGATTGCTCCACACACATCTTATTTGTTTTCCATACTGGTTTTTATTGTTCGTGCACGGAGCAAGCTTTGGTCCGTCAAGCAAAGAGAGGTTAAAGAGTAAGCTAGAAGACTTTCTCCAAGGTTTTAACTCAGATGTGATGACATAAAACCGAGAAACAAAAATAGTTCGGAGTTGAAAATGATTAAAATTTGCCAGCTCTAACTTTTCATGGAACACTGCCAAGACTAATTTGGATCTGGCCATTTCAAAGCTGTTTGCACAACTTTGTATTTGCCAAAAGAGAAAAAAAAAAAAAGGCGGACTTACAGCAGAGGTTAAAAGAAGTGCAGTACAAGAAGCAAACTGTTCTTCGGTGAATGGGAAGCGGAGAGGGAAAAACATAGGATCAGGGAAATAATTAACAGTTCAAACCAACGCAACCAGCAGCAGTATATTGTTATCTTTTTACTCACCTTCAATTAAAACATCATCATTCACGGAAAAGTGAAGTAGTTGCGAGATCATAATCTCACAAAGCTGTGGGTTATTTATAGTTTGATCCCACCTGACAGGTGCAGAGCAGGGTTCCCAAACCAGCTCTGAAGGCGCACCAACACTACATATTTTGTCAGGAGTTCAACAGAATTGAAAATGCCTATTCCTAGTCGGCAGGTGTGTCACGAGGACTGAGTTTGGAACTGCTGGTGTAGACGATGAGTGATGATGGTCCCAAACATTTTCAACCAAAAATACACATTATGCCTTTTACGATGGGAATATAACTAAAACCTGCCATATTTGGGATCGTCTCAAGGCCAGTTTGAAAACCACTGGTTTAAGAACCAAATCCCAAATCTGTGAAATTTATATTTTTGCTATTATGCCGAAATATACACAGTGCACTTTTACACACAGATTATGTTGGTAGATAAGAACTAATCTGGACCATGTCTGCCTTCCCATTTAAGATCTCAGACTAATATCTATTTGTTTTTCAGAATCAAAACATTCTAGAATCCCTCTACTATGTCAGCCATTACTATCAACTGAATTCTTTTTTGGGTATCTACAACTTTTTTTTTTTGTAAAGTAATAATTCATCAATTGCTCCAAACCCTTTACAATTGCAAATTTAATCATAGCGATTACATACCCCCCCAGCAAGGACTGCAGGCTATAGGGTCTAAGATTGGATTGCTAAAAACTACAGACACTGTAGACTACAGGAACTAGGGTACCAATGTATACATATCGCTGTGTACCAAAGTGGGAAATGAAAGAGAAAATGAATAAACATCTATAACGAGAACACAAAGAGAGGAAAGGGTGTATTCAAGCATTAAAATATAATTGGCCATTGTCAAACTGTGGTTTATTTTGCCAAAGTAATTATTCTGAACACATCCTCTGATGTCTGTGATTCTGGCCATAGTTAAATCGACAATTTTAATGTCTTCTTCCAGAGGTCTTATTGTAGCATTTGGCCTTTTTGTTTTGAAATCAGAGCAACACTGCCATAGAAAACAGATCACTGTTGCATTTCTATTTTCAGCTTATATATTTTGTAGCGTATGACTGACGTAGAAATACCTACAGAGGGACAGAGATCGTATAGCTCTCAACCGCTTTTTTTTTTTTTTTTACACAGCCAATTCCTGATTTATAGGATTTTTTGGGGTGAATGGGGTAATATGTAAATATTTTTTTACTCCAGCTTTCAGGAGCTGACCTTGCGAACAGTAGGTGTTACTGAGTTAACTTAGGCCTTTTTACTTAATCATTACCAGCCTTCTGTAATAAACCATGCGAGCAGAGTGGTCTGCAATAATACGAGGGGAGTGGATTAGCGCACGCTAAACCACAAGCGAGGTTTTCAAGAGTCAGCCGTTAATCTTTTTAGGTTCTAAAATGAATGTCTTTACAATGAAGAATGTGACATTGTAACAGTTTGCTGGGGGAAAAAAAAAGTCTTAAACCATGTGTGATAACTTTAAAACTTAAAGTGGGAACTGTCAGGTACACAGCTTCAGCTTAATGAAATGTGTTTATCAAAACTGTTAACTTATGGCTTATAACATAGCTCTATGTTATGGTTTTGTAAAACCTAATGACTATTTTACCTTAGCAGAGTAGAGTTCTAAAGAACGTGTAGAAGTTCTCTGAATTGATCCTATTCAAGACAGCTCAGATTAACATGTTTGCCAGAACCAGAACCCAATCAAGCTCACTTCCATCAAAGTAAATATGCACAATATCTTATTATATACATACATATAAATATATTATATATTTAAACCTATTATTCTTACAATATACAGTATGATCATGTAATAATATCTAACATATTGCTATTTATACACACATAGATTACATAACATTGTGCATGCTATATGAAATGAAGAAAATATTTATTCAAACATATTTTATATATCAGCTATTCAGAAATTCAAAAGGCACTTAAAAAAATATATATTTCTGAATATGATTTTAGCTTTTATTTTCCCCCCAAACAAAAAAAAACATAAATAAATAAATAAGACCAAGTAATTGGTAAAAAAAGGAAAACATTTTTTAATTTTTTTAAAAAAAAATACGTTTAGGGGTAGGACAGGATTGATGAGTGTCTCCAATGTTTGTGTGTATGTTATAATGTAGTCACTAGTATTGTCCCGAACGGTTTGCCGAACAGTTCGCCACGGGCTCATCATTGAATAAACTTTGACCCTGTACCTCACAGTCAGCAGACACATTCCAGCCAATCAGCAGCAGACCCTCCCTCCAGGACCCTCCCACCTCCTGGACAGCATCCATTTTACATTCATTGTGAAGCTGCATTCTTAGTGAGCTGTCCAGGAGGTGGGAGGGTCTGGGAGGGAGGGTCTGCTGCTGATTGGCTGGAATGTGTCAGCTGACTGTGAGGGACATGGTCAAAGTTTACTCGATGAGTCCGCGACGAACCGTTCGCGAACCGTCCGGGACATCACTAGTAGTCACCACTGAAAATGGATTATAGCATTAGAAATTGATTTTTTCTACATTCATCTAAATTATTGATTGCATTATTTAAATTCAAAATAAAACCTATTAAAAAAATTTAAAAAAAAAAGGATTGCCACAGCATCATTGGAAAATATAATTCCGAATATGAATTTAGTAGGATTTTCCGTGAAAACAGCTAATGGCAAAAGTAATCACTCAAAATGAAAATAATCCTCTCAATGAGCTTTTCTACTTCATATTTTTTTTAGGGATCAGTGGGTGTCCCCAGTTTGACCCTTTGCTCTAATGTAGTTGACCCCTCAGTATGGGATCGTAAAGATCTGCTTCCATACATTAATACTGTTTTAACGGAAATTTAAAACATTACTTTTGGTGTATTCCCAAATTTAATAACTCTAAAATGTAAGGCTATTTATCATATAACCTTTTCTGCCTGCTTTCTTTTATTTTTCCACAGTTTAAATTTTTGCTGTGTCAACAGAAATATTCCTTTTCTTTGCTTGCCCACTTTTACATACTGTACAGTAAAGTCAATGTTTGCTTTAAGACAGCTGAAAAAATAGGCTGTGATGTCATACCCTGGACTCTATTACAGATAGATCTAATACCCCAACAAAGGTGACTTTTGTGTTATAACATATCTATTCACCAAGACATGTTACGTTGCTTGTGGCCCAAAATGAATGCAGAACACGATGAGAATCTAATCTTATAGATATGCATTTGTGATGTGAGAAAAATGGGGGGACCTTTTTGGTGTAATATGCCATATTGGGAACTATGACAAACCGCAGACATCATGAACAAAGTGATTTAACTCCAAAATGGCAGAAAATTGAGCAGTGAGACTGCAGAGGCATGATCTATACACCAAAACCTCTCCATTAAGTTAAAGTTTTGATGACTATAATAACTAATCTTGGCGGGCATTGCAGCAGCCGGGCATCATCTGTCAATCATGCCTTCGGAACATTCGGCACATTACAGTGTGGGACCCAATGAGGCTCTTACTGGACAGCTGTCTAATAGCAAGTACACTCCACAATTACTGCAATGTACTCTTTCCTGAAATCGCTCGTCTTGGGGAGGTTACACATTGCTAATTCTGTGATGCTTTGCTACAGTTGCATCATAAAGTCGATGGTACTTGCGAGACCAGTTGTACACGGTGCTGTGACCATCACAAAGTGTAAATAGTTGGTAAAGCCATACCCTGTATGACAGACATCACAAAGTGATTGAAGGTACAGGGGTTCTAAGGAAAGGAACACTGGAAGAAAGAAAAGAAAATACAGTGTCACTTTAAAGGACTACCAGACCACTTCATTTTAGTCTCGGAAAAGCTGAAACATAGTTTAATATCTCCTCTTTTCTGTAGGCTCTCTCTTTTTTAACCACCATCAAAGAGACCATCAGAGAATGTTTTCAATACAGAGGAGATTGCACACACTGCGCAAATAAAGAAATACGCGAGGTCCAACCAGATACCAAATACCACAGAAAATTTATCAAATTCCCGAGAACACTGATCATGTAATGTGAGCAGACATTGTTGGAGGACACAATAATTGATCAGTGTGCTCGGGAATATGAGTAATGCCAGCGGAACGCAACATATAGCATACAGAGCTTGTAACAATGATTGACAGGGAGCTGGAGCTTACAGAGCTTGTAACAATGATTGACAGGGAGCTGGAGGTGGAGCTTACAGAGCTTGTAGATGTGTAGATGTTCTCTGAATTGATCCTATTCAAGACAGGGAGATGGAGCTCACAGAGCTTGTAACAATGATTGACAGGGAGCTGGAGGTGGAGCTTACAGAGCTTGTAATAATGATTGACAGGGAGATGGAGCTCACAGAGCTTGTAACAATGATTGACAGGGAGCTGGAGCTTACAGAGCTTGTAACAATGATTGACAGGGAGATGGAGCTTACAGAGCTTGTAACAATGATTGACAGGGAGCTGGAGGTGGAGCTTACAAAGCTTGTAATAATGATTGACAGGGAGATGGAGCTTACAGAGCTTGTAACAATGATTGACAGGGAGCTTGAAACAAAGAAGCCCAATTGCAGGATATAGTGGTGTAAGTTAGGGATGTGCATAGGCAAACAATCTGGTTCGTTTCAGAAATTCAGGTAAGTAAAAAAAATTGTCTGCTTCGGAAATCTGGAGCAATGGCATTCGGTTCGGCACTTCCGAACTACTGAACCTCGGCAATTCAGAACTTCCTATAGATGTGTAAGTGGTTGTGGTGGCAGTCTGGGCATTGGAAGTCCTATAGATGTGTAAGTAGTTGTGGTGGCAGTCCGGGCACTGTGAGGCGAGAGCCCTATAGATGTGTAAGTGGTTGTGGTGGCAGTCCGTGCACTGGGAGCCCTAAATTTGTGTAAGTGGTTGTGGTGGCAGTCCGTGCACTGGGAGCCCTAAATTTGTGTAAGAGGTTGTGGTGGCAGTCCGGGCACTGGGAGGCGGGAGTCCTATAGATGTGTAAGTGGTTGTCGTAGCAGTCGGGGCACTGGGACCCCTAAAGATGTGTAAGTGGCTGTGGTGGCAGTCCGGGCACTGGAAGCCCTAAAGATGCGTAAGTGCCCAGACTGCCACCACAACAACTTACACATCTAGGGGGCTCCCAATGCCAAGACTTCCACCACAACAACTTACACATCTGAACTTTTCAGAAATCTGAAGCACTTTAGAACTTCGGTTCAGTTCGGCACTTCAGACATTTGTAAGCATCTGAATTTCACGAAATTCCCCCGAATGTACATTCGGAATGAAACGAATTGCACATGTTTAGTGTGGGTTTAAGCCAACCAATAAGAGAGCTTTCCCTGCTTTGCAAAGCTTAGTCTGCACGGAGCCCTCGCCAGGTGAAAATTTATAATTTTTTTATCGTCACGATTTTTTTTCTGGATTATTTTATTTTTCTTTTACAATCGGGTCTCTTCAAATTGTATTAGTTCGATAGTCTTTATGGATTTTCATTTGGCATTTTTGGGGCCCACCAGTGACATGACCTGCTGAAGCACTCCCTGCATGGTGCCCGCTGCACCGCCCGAGTGCATCTAATGATGCGCTTGCTCTGTGCTGCCTGTGGACAGCTCCTCAGATGCAGGACACCAGGGAAACGAAGCAGGACAAAACCCTAAAAGCGGAACTGTCTCAAGGAAAGCAGGACTTTGGAAACCCTGCATTCTGTTCTGCAGTCCATTACACCACACTATGGGCTTATATTTGATAACGTTTCTACAGGTGTCCTATATTCAAGTCTTCATGTCTAACCTGCATTATTTGATCAATAACAAAATGGGAAAAGCACAGCTGCTTGGAATAAGGTGTAGCCTTTAAACTGGTGGTACTATGACTGCACTGCTATAAATACAGAACATGGAATACACATCACAGTTATACAACGACTTCATAAAAAAATTAAAAGACTTAGGGGAGTAGTCTCGATCACAAAAATTACATATGCAGATAATCTAAAATTCTCGGACATATTTTTATCCAGAGATAAAAAAAAGAAGACACTAAAAACTTGTCCTAACATAGAACTTTCCCAATTGCTGCACACTTCTTATGCCTCCATTCTGGAGAAGGCACGTGAAAATGCTCTGCTAACATCTACGAAAGCGTGGAAATTGTTGAGACAACTACTAAGACTGCAGTGGCAATATACCAGATTTATACCTTTTTTTGCGCAATTCAAATTTTCGAGAAAGGGAATACTCATAGCCCAATACTCATATCATTCCTGAGAGGCTAGGGCCATACTAGAATGCACAGTTTTCTAAATGACAATAATAGATCGATCCTCTCTTTCCAACAAGCCAAACACAATTTTGCTTACCTCAATGTTTCCCTCTTTCATACTTACAGACGCTCAGATGGATTTGCATTACCCTCCCGCACTTTTGCCCCACTGACTGGCATCATTCAATAGTTTATTTACTTACTCAACCTGCCGATCCTTCCTACTCAATTAGCTCACTTTATTCTCCAATCCGGCTCCACTTGGACCACTTGACTACACAGTCAGGTAAGTCTCGTTAGGTAGCTCCTTTCCTAATTTTAACCCATGAGATACTCATAGCAGCCAAACTACTTAAATTACTTCCATCAGCCTCTTATCAGGAAACGCACATGAAGATTGCACATCATGCCTAATATTTAAAAATGAGAGACCGCCCACTTTTGTATCTTGCGCTATAAAATTAGTTACAGTGCTACAGTAACTAATTTTATAGCGCAAGTGCAATTTTTTTTCTTAAATATGTACTTAGATTTATCTGTTTGTTTTTTTTTTTTTTTGCTTTATTTCCATTTTCTATTCTACTTTATTTTCTATGTGTGTCTGTGAGATATGTGTGTGAGTGAATTGTGCTGTGTGTATGTAGAGGGTGTAGTGTGTAGGTTTCAGTGTGTGGTGCCATGTGTGTGTGAAGGGTGAATACAGGGCCAGATTAAGAGCCCAGTGGGCCTGGTGCTGACAATTATGAGGGGCCTAATTACAGAATCTTATCGACCAAAAACAATAAAACAGTCATACCTCTCAAGCGTCATGTATCTGATGGAGATGGTGCCAGAGGGAAACTCTGCAGCTATAAGAACACACAGATTCTCTTAAAATATGCTAATCTCTCTCTAATTAATGCTTTCATCTTTCAAGTAAATCCATTCCCCCTAACAGCAGTGTCCAGTGAAGCAGGAAGTCAATGGGTGGTGTAAATGGGTGGGCCACTGACACAAATCACGCGACAAGAATTGCCAAAAGGAGCGAAAGTGCCCAAAAAGGGGGCATGTCTGCCCAAAGAATTGGAAGGCCAGCCTGGCATCAGTGTCCCTATGTATCACAGTGTCAGTGTCCCCATGTCACCCAGTCCACTAGTCTCCGAGTGTCTGTGTC